GCTTCTAGAGAGCATTTGATTGGACAGAAGGTTTGATGAGAAGCTGAAGTACGATGTGACGTCAAAAAAATCGTTGAGCCGTTTTGGCGGAAGTGACGAACTGCAAGCTTTGAATGCTTATATCTTCTAAATGCGAATTTTGTCACTGTTTTGGAGCACACTGCCTTATAGATAACCTTAAGACTAACATATTGATACTAACACCCAAAAAACTTTAACTTATATGATATAGTTTAACTGCAAAGAAAACCTCACAAATGTTGAATGCTAGTTATTGCTTAGTCAATATTCTGTCTTCATTTATTATGAATTGTATTTTTTTTTTCATGTTTCACAAAAGGAGAAATTTTGAAGAATGTACCTATCATTCTGTTTCAATTGCAAGAAAAGGGAATTGAGCTTTCAAGTTTCAGAACGTTTGTGTGATAAAAGTATGCCAATCATGCCCTATATTCCAAGTCTTTTGAAGCTTTGTCTGAGGAACAAATCAAACTTTATTTCGACATCCTTGGTGCTTTGAGAGCCCACGAGAGATATAGCACTTTCTGAATAATGAGTCATAAACAGATTATTCTTTTGAGTTCGATCTTTCTAATTAACCAGTTAATCTGGTTCACAAAACTGATTCATTCACAAATCAGACATCATATGCCTTCTTTCAGAAGACATAGAATAAGAACTAATTCTCACTATTAACTTGTTTATTAGCATGGATATTACTAGCATATTGACTGTTTATTAGTACATATTAATCACATATTAGTGCCTTATTCTGCATGACCATATTTTAAATCCCATAATCAATACCTAAACTTAACAACTACCTTACTAACTATTAATAAGCAGCAAATAAGTAGTTAATAGTTAGTTATTTGTGAGAATTGGTTCCCACACACAAAAAAAGTGTGACTGCACAAGTTGTATGAACTACTTTTATGCTGCTTTTACATTCTTTTTGGAGCTTAACAATTTAAATCTACTGTGATTGCTTGGACAAAATGTCTCCTTTTGTATTCCACAGAAGAAAGAAAGTCACATGGGATTGGAACGACATGAGAGTTAGTAAATGATGATACAGTTTTCATGTTGGGTAGACTGTTCCTTTAACGCAGCGTCACGACCATTTAAGTAGTCATTAGTCAAAGGAAAAAGTGTAATAATTAAAAAAATGCAAATCAGTTGCAGAGTGGTGCAAAAACGTGTCTGTTTCTGACACAGAGCAGATATGCTTTTTCCATCTCGAGAGCGCAGGGGAAGCATAATTGCATTTGTTTTGGCTGGAGCACATGAACGTGGCTGTATAGGCACAGCCTGCAGAGCTCCACTTAAATCTCCCTGAGCTCGACAAACACCCACTTACTCACCCATGTACACACATGCACATGTGAAAACATGTTTACTCAGTATGATGAGAGAGTAGCTCAGGGATATTTCATTAGCAGCATAAATGATGTGCCAGCTTTTGGCCAAGTAGCTTTTGTGGCTATATTCTAAAATACAGTTTGAATATCCAGTTTATAACTCATTTCACCAAACTGTATTTTCAGTGACGTTGGACTGTGGCACACGCCAAAGCGAGAGGTAAGAATGCTGTTGCCTAATGAATCATAAGGTTTTTAAGTACTGCTAAAAACTCCTCATTAACCATTTCCTCTCCATTTTGGCAACAGCGTTGCTCGCAAAGGTGGCGGAGGAGGAAATAACGAGACCTACTGGAAAGAGCTCCATGCTGCCATGGCCCTGACCAACCTGGCCCAGGGGAAGGAGAGCTCAACGCCGGGCACCACCAGCTGTATCATCCAGAAGTCTTCCCATATAGCAGAGATTAAGACCGTCAAAGTGCCCATACAACCCCGACATTAGTGGCTAACAGACTGGACAGCAGCTAGGTCATAATTGCTAAAAGACTACCTGAACACTTGAGTATGTACTACATGCAATAATTTTGTTGAAAATGATCCACAACAGCCTTTTCTAGGAGGAAAAATACATGTTGACTGACCAACGTGCCTATTTTTTTTTCTTTTCTTTTTTTTTTTACCACTGTCTGATGAAAAATGACATAGTAAAGAAAGTTTGATGTGTGGACGATCACTAAAACTAAACACAGAAGCACAAAAATTCTCATTCTGATTTAGGCGGTCATCATTTCTGAAATACAATTTTTGTCGGTGGCTAAAATGTAATATATTCATATATATATTCAATTTTTCTAAGTTATGTTAATTTTATTTTTAATTGACACAGGATTATTGTCATCCTATGGCAATGGCATATACATGTGGATTATTGTGTTTAAGTATGGCATATAGAGGAAGTTTCTTTTTCTTTCTTTTTTTTAATATTCTATCTATGAGTGAAGGAAACTTTTTTGGAACAAACCTTTTGGTTTGTTATTGGATAGCTTTGAAGTTCATTTGGGCCATTGCCTGTGAAGATTATCATGCAAAATTCAGTCAGATGACAGCTAATAAAGTTTTTTAAATAGAATACAGTTGTGCTTTGATGAAATTTGCTCCTCTCATTCCCTCAAAGTAAAAAATAGAAAGACGTAACTGTGAGATAAAATGTAAATAAGAAATACAGTCACATTATGGGATATATAAGCACACTGTGTCATATAAAGTTACAATTATCAGAAGTAAACTTGTGATTGCATGATATGAAGTCGCAACTACAAGTAATAAAGTTGCACTTGTAAGATAAACTGTAAAGTCACAATTGCATATAAAGGCACAGTTACAAGAAACAAAGATGTAGTTTTAAGATATAATGTGAGAAACAAAATCACAAATGCAAGATATAAAATCACTCTTGAGAGATATGAAGTGCTATATTAGAATTATTTCTATACTGTTACAGTTTCTATTAATATTTTGAGTGTGCTGTCAAACGATTAATCACATCCAAAATAAAAGTTTTTGTTTACATAATATATGAGTGTGTACTGTGCATATTTATTATGTATATATAAATACACACCCATGCATGTATATATTTCAGAAAAATATGTTATGTTTATATATTAAATATATTTATATATAATATAAATTCTATGAATATAAATATATATGTAAATACATGTAAATATTTTCAAAATACATACTGTGTGCGTTTGGAATTATATATACACAATAAATATACACAGTACACACACATATATTATGTGAATAAAAACTTTTATTT